TGTAACATTTCCTTGTGCTGCGCTTTTTTTGTAAAATTGAATTGCTCTTTTGACATCTCGATTTCTTTCACAGTGTTGAGCAACTTTGTATGCTGCCTTTGAAAAATCACACTTTGTTGATGATAAATATAACTTGTAGGCTTTATCTGGCTTAACTTTCTTACCATACTTTCCATGTTCGTACCAAGTGCCTTTAATATACAAAGCTTCGGGATGATTGTTTTTAACAAGTAAATTAATCCAATATTTAATTTCTTCACGAAATTTATTGGTTGTAGGGTCTTCTTCAACAGATTCTGAGCCATTAGTTTCATTGGACTTTGTATGGTTCTCCTCCATATTAATAAGAAATTTTGCATAATCTATTTGTATGTTGGGATCATTAAGTTTTTTGGCAGCTTCGGCGTATTTCTGAAGAGCAGTTTCATCATTTTTTAATGTTAATGAGGTCATTGATCGACGTTTTTCTTTTTTTTCATCTATTAATAACCTTATAACAGGTGATCTTGAACCAGTACTACTCATAGAAAGGCGAAGTTCAGGTGTAGAAGTACGATTTCCATATAAGTGCCCTGTTTTCAACAGGGATGGTGGTGTTGGATTACCGTCTGATCCAATAATAAACTCAGGAGATTGTTGCCCATGGATATATTGTCCTGGTGTAGGAGTTCCTAAAGAAGTTTGGCTACTATTATTAGAATAGTTTTCGTAAAAATAGCGATTTTGCTGATTGTATTTTATTGGATAATCATGAATAGGTGAAAATGCCTGCTGTGCATTTTGAGAAGTTATATGATTTCCATATGTAGGAGATGCATTACCTTTTGGTGAGAAGTTATTATTGGGATTTAGACTTTGTGGTGATATTGATGTTGGCGTAGACGTTGACGTTGACGTTGATGCTGTTGACGGAGAAAAACTTTGATAAGTTTGTTGTTGATGAAGATAATTGTTTTCTTGAATAGGGTATTGATTTGATTGGTGATTGGGATTTTGTCCAAAACTAGTATTGATAGGAAGTAAATTGTTTTTTATTAATAGGTTATGTTGTTGATTGATATCGTAATTTGAATTATAATTTGAATAAATTTGATTTTCTAAAATATAATGATGATTTGTAGTTTCATTGTCATTTTCACGACTATTTTTATTTTTACCATTATTGTTGACTGGTTCGTTAAAGCTTTCTTCTACCTCTAGAACACCAGCAATGTCTTTTGATACTATTGGGGAAATTTTTTGAGGCTTTGGAGCGACCAATGGTGGAAATAAATCTTCGGATAATGATAATGGTGATAACATAATGTCAGGAAGAAATTGTATATTTTGTTGCATGTTAGTCTCGTTTTTAACATTCATTTTTAATTTTTATTATTAAAAAAAATTTTTTTTTTTCATTTAAATAAACAAACAAATACCATTTTTTTTTTTTCCTTTTTTTATGTTTTATTTTGAAAAAGTACCACAAAAGACATTTCAAAATTATCAACAGACAGATCTTAACATTGGATCTATTATCCAACCATACATAGTGTTAATTGCATTAGTTTTAATTCTAAAATTAATTCTTTTGTTTACGTCTGACACTTGATCTACGCCTTATTGTTATTATTATGCTGTACTTGGCACCTAATCAGACATTTTCTGGTGGTAGAAGCTTCCTCTGGCTGCGGTGAAATAGGATAATGTGAGACAAACTCTGGTGGAATTCACGAGGTAAGATAGTAATAGGTTAAACCCAATTTTTGTACAATCAATTGTACAAATGGCCATTTGTTCTTGCAACAAACACAACATTGGTATTACCAAATTTCAGGGATCTCCCATTTGTTTGTTATCTTAAGGGTAGAGTGTACATAACTATACCACAATGATGCAACTTCTCAATAAACTCCAGGACCATACCACCCCGGAAATTTAATTTGCATCATTGTATCCTTGGCGTCGTAGGTCGGTTTAGTCTTGTATACACAAGGAACATGTGAGAATGATTGTAAGTGCGTGTGTACTTGATGCCTGTCAATTTCCAATAATCAAAAAGTTACATAACAAATTGTGTATCTCTCGTTATTAATAAATAACAACACCTTGTCTTCTTTAGGAAAGCCATACCATACAACATTCACATTTTTTTTCTTATCAGTCAAACGATATGTCACAGGATGTGTAATTACATTTATAAAATAGAAAATCCGGCTCGTGTAACAAATCAGTTTTTAAAATATCTCATTATTTTTATAACAAATTCGAACATCATTATTAATCAAAGATAAAACTATGTCATTATAGCTTTCTAATGAGCCCTCTCCCATATTTATAGAGGCTCTCTATGTCAAGCTATATTTATTCAAAAACAGCATTACTTTTTACTTCAAAGCTAAGATTTTTTACCAATATTACCTTTACAAACTTGATGAGTGGTTGAAGAGATGTAAAATATTGTAAGTTTTCATTTAGGTATAGCTTTATGTGTATTGTTGTTTATTAAAGTTTAGTGAAAATGGCAAAAAACTACTAAATTTTGATAAATTTATTTATCAATACACAAAAAGGAAAAAATTGTGGGCAGGAGATTATCAGGAGTCATAACCAAAAATAGATAATTAATTTCCAAATGCGGTAATTTGGTTGATAAACTTTAACACCAAGATTTTTTTCTATTTTATTAATAACCTCTCCTAATTTTTTTCTAAAAGAAGGAATAAGTCTTGAAAAATCTGTGACTCAAATTTGGTGGAGATTGGTGAGCAAAAAAGGGTTAAAATTAAGGGTTGTGGCTAATTTTATTAATAGAATTTCGACATTGATCATCAAAAAATTTCGGAAAATACACTTCCAAATCATTTAATGTGACAAATCATTCGACTAATAAAATGAATGTCCACTATGCTCCTAAAATCATGACAATTTCAGAAAGCTCCATGCAGATTTACTGTTGTCAACCTATAAACTTTGCTTCTTGTTCATCTCTGCAATTGAACTTGATGGACTTGATGGGAAAGAACTTTCAGTATATAAAGCACCCAAAGAATGTTTATGCAAAGTTTCACATTATTTGTTTGTGGAATTTTTATGTCACATTAATGAGTATTTTAAAGTACTTTTTTAATTAATTTTGTTAGTTGCACAATATAAATATGTTCGTCACTTTATGTCACATTTAGTGTTAAAATTGAAAGTTCACTATGCTTATTGGAGTCCATTTTATTTAGTTTATTTTAGTAGATCTTTTTTTAGACATGTCTCTCATGTACCACAGAAGTGTGACTTGGATTATATTTTAAAACTTAAAACAATGCAAGACAAAAAAAAAAGCAAAAGTGATCAATCCAATTGCTCAAAGTATGTATAAGTTCCAACAAATTAGAACAGAACAACAACAGAGAGAAAAAATAGAAACTGAAAAAAGACTTAAACCAAATGTTAATAGTCTATGCAAAAAAGTATTATCCTGGAATTTAGAAGCATTTGGTGCTTCCTGCCAAATACAGATAAGAGTAGGTTCAAGAATATACCCAATATATTTAAATCTATTGAACAATACTTGGATATATTTGAATCATTATTGATATTGGAATGCTGGCAAAACTTCCTCAATGCAAAAGATGAAATGGATGAAAATGATTTGTTTATGTTTATCATTGACAGTAATATAATGGTGCATGAATTCAAAGAGATTTATGTGACTGTTCCAGCATCACCATCATTGAATGAATTGACATGGGGTGAAAATGACCTTATATTAATGAAACTAGATGAACAAGATAAATTCAAAAATCAAAAATAAAGAATTTTAACAGTCATTAAAAATGTGTATGGTGATAAAATTACATTGTCGACCTATTTGGCCAACAATCCCAAGGAAATTCAACATGAATTAAAATCATCAAGTAGGTGGAAAGCCATAAAACTAATGAGGTAAATTTATAAACATGTGTATGTCATAATATATTCTTTGTACTAAATACATTCATAACTGTATTAATAAACATTAATATAAATAAATATATATACTTGTAATAGTTTAACACCTGTTGTACATGAATATTCAGCTTTAATTGGATTACCATATTATCATTGGCAAGATTTTATTTTGAATCCAAAAGAATAAAAACTTAATATACCAAATAATGAAATATCTAAATATATGAAAATTTCCATATTAATAGTTCACAAGCTGAGGCAATTTGGAAAGTTATAAATCAGAAAAAAGGATTTACTCTTATTCAAGGATCACCAGGAACAGGAAAGACATCTACAATTGTTAGTATAGTTAGTGAATTAAAAAATGTTTCAGAACACATCAAGTCTCATTTTCTTGTTAATATTAACAACCATTTTTCTGATACGGTATTCCAAAAATGCTTTCTTGTTTCCATCTATCCAATAGTACAGTCCCCGGCGAAAGTAATGGCGGTATAATGAAACATTATTTTTGCTAAGTTTTTATTAAGTAAATCAATCTTTTTATATTAAATAAAGTTGTTCACAATGAAAAATTCTACATATCCTAAAATTTTTATGAAGTTTAGAGAAAA